ATTTCTTTTATTACTTTCAGTAGCGTTTCCATTTTTTAAAAAAGAGTAATCTACATTACTATAATGTGTATTCCTAGGTACACTGAGCCCTTTATGCCTTACTTTCCTGGTTCAATAAATGTGGTGTGAAGACCTCTGAGTAACTGCAAAGGTTGAGACAGGTAATGTAAATGCATGACACATAAATAGTACTCTGCATGGCTTTTTAAAAGTAATTATAATAACGCATCATTAATATTATTTTTTTTAATTATTTTCTGTATCCGAATCAGTATGAAAAGAGTAGAGAAATCAGAGTATGATAAGGACATTTCTATCTACCAGGAAAAACTAGTTTTTCTGTTTCTTTTGCTGACTCTTGTTTTTCCTGTTTTCAATTTTTTTTCAATTGCCAAATAGAGAAAATATGCTATGTTCGACTGAGATAAAGAAACTCCACTCATGGTGGATAGTGAATTTCTAAAAAAGGGATTCAGATGCTGAAGTACCTGGAGTTCACTAGACGCTCCCTAGATGCCACGACTCCAAGAGAGTAATTCACTCAAGTAGCATTTTGACATCACCTGAGGGAAGCAGGAGACGAGCAAAAGGTTTTTTTTTCTTTGAAGATTTAAAGGGCAAAGAAGGAAATTATAACAGGAATATGAAGAGAGTTGTTAGATATTACCTAGCTATTATCTTTACACTTCATTTCTATATTATGTTTTGTGAGGTTACTTTGTTGAGCTGTTATATTGAGGAAAGAAATGAAAAGTCTGAGAAAACATACTGGAAATCAGATTAGATCAATGAGAAATCATATTGATGGATGGACCCTTGACCATGTGCTAGACATTCCTCTGCCCTCTTCGGGTAGTGTTTCCTACTCATAAGTCCAGTTCTGTGTTGTCAGGAAAGCTTATCTAAAACCCCCACCTTATCAACTAGTGGAAAATATCACCGCTCACTAGTAAAGGTTTTATAAAAGATAAATTTTATAAAATTTAAAAACACATTAACACAAACCACTATATAAATCAGAATGTGTTAACCTCTCAGAGGGGCCACAGATTGTTTGAGAATTTATTCAGTAGACAGTGCTCTGTGCTGGGGTAAAGTAGTGAGCATCACAAATGCAGTTTCTTCCCTCATGGAGTTGACAGTCTTGTGGGGAGTCAGCAATAAAGTTTCTAGTCATACAAATGAGCACATCTCTGCAAAGTGGGAAAAGTGCTCTGAGAGAAAGCATCGAGGCCTATGAGAGTGTATAACAGGAGGACATGCAGAGAGTTGGAGGGAGGGCATATTGCAGAGGGATTCCCTCAAGATGTGATAAAACTGGATGAGATACCATTTTAACACAATTTCCAGGGTGTTCATAGATTCTGAAACCTGACAATGAGCTCCAGGTAAAGAACTTCTGCTCCCTAGTGGTATTCCTGGTCATGTGATTGTGTGAAGCAAAGAATGCTGCATGGGGAGGATTTTATTCTGGAAAGAAGAGATTGGATTTGTGGCCTCCTGGAAAGCCAGGAAGGTCTTGCCCTCAGAGCAGGCATGCTGACACAGATGCTGGAAGACTCCATTGGAGTTCTTCCCCTGGCCTGTTAGCCCAGGGTCTGTTTCACCTACTAGAGTACCGATTTAATCCAGCTCAACCAGGGCAAGCAGCCCACCCTAGGGACTAGCCCCACTAAACTGCAAGCCCTCAGGCAATGTGTGGGCCCGCATAGGCTGAGTGCCTGGATCCTCTGCAGCTGGGCTAGTTGGTCCACCTCTGTGGGGTAGGGCATGTGTGAGGAGTGGGTGGAGTGTGTGGGCCAGGTGTGGAGTGTGTGGGGCCTCTGCAGTGGGGCAACTGGGTCTGCTTCAGTGGTCAGGGTGTGCCCATGGGGCAGGACTGTTTTGACAGTGTGTGTGGCCCTGTGCGCAGTGGGGCTCGTCAGCTGCAACAGACTTGTGCTTCTCAAACATCCCTATAGGGGGTCGGCCACATCACATTGGAGAGAGTTTTCTTTAAAATTCATTCTGTCATCCAGGAGCTCAGTGTAGCATCTTGTTATTGATGTTTCCACAAAGCCCACTCTGTGATGCCACCTCAAGAGTGACTCCACTCAGACGGGTTTCTTGAGGGACTAAACGGTTGTTTCCTCTTGATTAGTAAGTGTCTTTTAAAAACATGGAATCTCTCTTTAAAGAGACGAGGGCCAAAAAATATTTCTAAATTCTAAAACTCAACCAATGGGTAGGAAAATATTTTGGACCCTCTTCCCTTTTTCTAATTGGTAACTTAATGAATAGATGTCTTCTCGGATAAGCTAGATGTACACACTCCTGCCATGGAGAATAGAATATAAGTATTATTTTATATACAAAAGATATTTTTTAATTATTATAATTAGAACGTGTCAATAGATTATTGTCCCAACTATATCCTAATTTAGTGAAGAAGAATTATACCTCCACCAGTATATATATATATATTTTTTTGTGAGGAAGATCAGCCCTGAGGTAACATCCATGCTAATCCTCCTCTTTTTGCTGAGGAAGACCGGCTCTGAGCTAACATGTATTGCCAACCCTCCTCCTTTTTATTTCCCAAAGCTCCAGTAGATAGTTGTATGTCATAGTTGCATACCCTTCTAGTTGTTGTATGTGGGACCAGCCGCAGCATGGCCGGACAAGCGGTGTGTCAGCGTGCGTCCGGGATCCGAACCCGGGCCGCCAGCAGTGGAGTTTGCGCACTTAACCACTAGGCCACGGGGCCAGCCCGCTCCACCAGTATAGAACCAACATCATTGCTTTTGGCTGACACCCTCCAACTTTGAACTGGCTTTATCAAAATCTTCATACACACAGTTCGCTCATTCAATTATTTTGGTGATCCCTTTGTAGCTAGGCTATGTTAGAAGGTGTCCTAGGATATCACACTGCTCAGTGCTAGATGTTCCGTAGGTATGTGATGATGATAAAGGAAAATATATTAAATTATAAGTGTTTGTGATTTGTTCTCCTGCAGGTACTAAGGAGGAAGAACTCCAGATGTTTCTTTGTTGTACAAATGCAGACACTGGGCAAAGGGCAGGCAAATGCCTACACACAGAGGCTTTGGTTGGAAGAGAGAATGTTGCAATGGAACAGAGAAAGGAAAAACTACTCTGTTGATTTGAGGGAAAGAAATTAATAGTTAGAGAAGGATCTAAACACAAGAGATAATTTTTGACTGTGGATTGGGATCGAGCACCTGTGATGGGAGTGGGAGTGATGGGGGAAAGGAGCAGGGAGGGGAAGAGGGCAGAGGGAGGCTGCAGATAGTGCTAGAGAGAGAAGGAGGTAGGCAGGGGCTGAGGGAGTAAGTGAGGGAAGGGAGGTCTTCAATAAAAAGTGAAAGGAAAAAAGGTTTTGCTGGACATTTATCCAGAGAGGATATACAAACAGCCAATTAGCACACAGAAAGATGCTCAATATCATTAGTCATTAGGGACATGCAAATTAAAACCACAGTAGGATACCAATTCACACCCACTGGGATGGTTATAATCAAAGACACAGAACATAAGTGTTGGGAGGATGTGGAGAAATTGGAGCCTTCGTTCATTGCTGGTGGGAATATAAAATTGTTCAGTTGTGGTGAAGAACAGTTTGGCAGTCCATCAAAAAGTTACACATAGAATTACCATATGATCCAGCAATTCCACTCCAGAGTATATACCAAAAATAATTAAAAACTGGTTTTCAAACAAAAATTTGTACATGAATGTTCATAGCAGCACTATTCACAATAGCCAAAGATTAGAAAAAACCCAAATGTCCACAAATGGATGAATGGGTAAACAAAATGTAGTTATTTCTATACAATGCAATATTATTCAGCCATAAAAAAGGAATGAAGCACTTCTACGTGCTGCAACATAAATAGACCTTAAAAACATTATGCTAAGTGAAAGAAGTCAGACACAAAAGGTCACATATTGTATGATTCCATTTTTATAAAGCATCCGGAACAAACAAATGCATAATGACAGAAAGCAAAGTAGTGGTTGTCAGAGCCAGTGAGGAGAGAGAAATGGGGAGTGACTGCTGAAAGGGTATGAGATCTCCTTTTGAGATGATGAAGATGTTTTGGAACTAGATAGACTTGAGGTTACACAACAGTGTGAATATACTAAATGCCACTGAAGCGTACACCCTAAAACAGTTAAAATAATGAATTTTATGTCAGGTAAATTTTACCTCAATTTAAAAAAAAGTTTTAGTTGGCATTTTAAAAGATACTCCATTACCTTCTCCTCAACCTTTTGGCATTTTCTCAACAGATTGATTATAAGTTTGAATTGTTACCACATTATGTTTTTGCTTGTTTGTGGATACAACAAACCAGAGATCTGTAATAGTTCAGTAAGAGATGTTTTATTCTGATTTTTAAAAGTTGTTTTAAACATTTTTCTGGATAAAATTATCACTGATTTGCTTTATATTTTAGGATGTTTAGAGCTCAATCATTAATTGTGTGTTACAAGAGCAGAGATAAATTATCACCAATGGGAAACTGATTCTTTCCTTGGTGAATAGTTCAGCTCGCCTCTGATCATGTGTGACATGACCTTCTAGTCAAGCATGAGTTATGAATACATCCCTCAGTTTCCACAAGAGGATATCCTTAGACTTGATTACATAGAAAGATATGTGTTTGAGATCCTGAACATTTGACTTTTTGGCTAGTCATTTGTCACCACTGCAGGTCTGAGAGGGAAACATGCAGAGTGATGTCCATGTGACTCACACATGGTCTGGTCCTGCTCATCAGGGTTGTGGGCATCTTTGCTCTGACTTTGGCTCAAATCCCTGGTGAATTCCCCACCCTACTGAGCTGGGCTGGACCAGGTCCTTCCACCTGCTCGCTTACACACAAACACACACACACACGCACAGGCATACACACACATACAGACATTATGCAGGAGGGCATGCTCCAGAGCCCACTGTATTCAAAATGAGGCCCTCTTGTGACAAAGTCACTACTAAAGTTTTGATTCAGAAGTCCTCATCAGAACTCGACTCAGAGCAGCCTTCATGTCCTTGTTCCGCAGACTGTAGATGAGAGGATTCAACATGGGAGTCACCACAGCATAAAACAGCACCACCACCTTGTCTTTGGCTGAGGCTATGGAGCTGGGCTGCATGTAGATAAGCAGGGCCGTTCCATAAGACATGGAGACCACAGTGAGGTGGGAGGCACAAGTCCCAAAAGCTTTGCGGCGTCCCCCGGTGGAGCGGATCCGCAGGATGGTGGCCACAATGTGGGTGTAGGACAGGGAGACCAGGCAGCAGGGCACCAGCAACACCACCACGGTGGAGACCACTATGACCACCTGGTTGAGGGTGACATCCACACAGGCCAATCTGACCAGTGCCAGTGTCTCACAGGACACATGGTTCACCACGTGGTGCCCACAGGTGGGCAGGCGCATGGTGACTGCCGTCTCCACTGCAGAATGAGCCAAGCCTACAAGCCAGGAGACTGCTGCCAGCACCGCACAGCTCCTAGGGCCCATCACTGCCACATAGTGCAGGGGATCGCAGACCGCCACATAACGGTCATAAGCCATTGCTGCCAGCAGCAAGAACTCAGTCCCCCCTAGGGCCAACGAGAAGAAGAGCTGGGTTGCACATCGGGTGAAGGAGATGGTCTTCTTCTCCAGGAGGAAGTGCACTAGCATCTGGGGGACCCCACTGGAGGTGTAACAGATGTCCACGACTGCAAGGTTACAGAGGAAGAAGTACATGGGCAGGTGCAACCGGGCATCCAGCCCAATCAGGAGGACAATGAGCCCATTGCCCAGTAGGGTCAGCAGATAGGCAGCTCCAAACAGGACAAAGAGTCCAGCCTGGATCTGCCTGTCACTGGAGAGCCCCATTAGGACAAACTCACTCACCCAGGTCAGGTTGTCCCTCATGGAGGAGGTGGGTCAGGCTGTTGGGGGGAGGAGCAGAGTCAGGGAGGGACGAGTGATGGTCTTACTTTAGAAGTCTGGGATTAAGCCCTGGGCTAGGACTGAGGCTGGAATTGGGACACCTCTACTCAGGTTCCTACCTAGGTGCTCAGGGACAATGCAATGAAGATGTTGGAGAAAGGGACATTTGGGTGCTCACTCTACTCTGGGGAATTCTCACGGTTAAAGTCCTTTTTCTGGTCATCCTTCTATGTCTAGGATCCAGCACAGTTAGAGTTATAGAGGAGATAACCTATAAATGCAGAAGGAAAGATAGGGGAAAAAGTGGTGGAGAATAGGGAAAAAAAATGATGGAAGGAAAGAAAAAAATAGAAAGTAAAAGAGAAAGGAAAACTAAGGAAGAAGGGTAGAAAGTGGAAAAGGAAGGAAGGACAGTGGAGCCCAGGGAAGAAAGGAAGGATTCTTCAGTGACGGGAGCAGAGGGTAGAATGTTTTAATCAGATCTTGATACAAAGAGTGGTGCCCCTGGTTCCTCCGTGTTGTTCCTAAAAGGCTGAGCTCAGTTTCTCTTCATGTTTCTTCTCGGGTCTGGTCTAGGTCACTGCCTAGAAAGGAATCCTCTCATGTCATTCTCATTGTGCCCATCAGTCAGATGATGCTTCAGTCTTTTAAACCAATACCTGCTAAGCCCCTGCTCTGTGCAGGGACTGTTCTGGATGTCAGATACCTGTCTGTGAACCAGAAAGACAGAGTATGAGCCCTGTTTCCTTTGTTCTTATATTGTCATCAGGGACACATTAATAATTACAAAAAATTAAATGAGAATAATTGTGCTAAGAGCTATGAAGGAGAAGACCAAGGTTACTAGTTGTCTAATTAAGTTAGCAGCTGTAATTAAATTATCACCACAGTTATGCTTTCCTCCTCGATAGTGTACTATTTATATAGTAAGCTGTGGGCATATATGCAGATGTTTAAATAAATAATTAACAAATTGATGTAATGAGAACATTTGGAAACCAATGATACTCACATGTTACTACTGAGTATGAAGTGACTGAAATCCACTGAATCTTCTCAGAGGGAGTGAATTCTCCTCTCTCAGCTAAGATTGTGCTGGCTTATCTCCCTTCCAACATGTCGACCACCGTCTATAGAACTAGAATTAAATGCCATCAGTTTTTTCTAATAGAAATGCAATCTCAAAGCACATTTCCTGCTCTTACAAAAATTAGTAAATTAACTCATTTATTAAGAATATTTATTGAGTATATGAGCCACTACGCTTTCAACCAACTTCTAGGAGATGTTGCCTTTCAACGTTAGGGATTCGTGTTTAGAAAATCAGCAGTGCGACAAAACCAAATAAAAAACTTGAAAAGTTGGATCCTGGTAAAGTCTGTGAAAATCAAATGAGACAGCTGAACAAAGGATAAATGTAATACTACATCAGTGTTCAGAAAACCAGAGCAGAGCCATAGAATCAAACACAATAGAATTGAAAAGCATCATCTAATTCAGACGTCTTCTGGCTGGGAACAGTGCCCTGGGCTTTCGTTGGTGGAGGAAGAGAGGAGAGAAGATGGATGGAGCAGGCATTTTTTGCTTTCCACTCAGCCCTGGCCCTTAGGTAGTCAGAAGCTGTCTCTGCAGAGACTGCCAAGAATAGAAACTGGCTTTAGGTTCTCAGGGTTGCAGACGGGTTCTAGGGCCAGAGCAAAGTAGCTGGTGGCTGGGGTTCTGAGCACTGCCCCAGGGATCCTGGTCCTTGTATCAGCAGAGGAAGTAACTCAGCTCTGATCTACTACTATCTGGAAGCTGCTACAGCATCCAGAATCCTCACCTTCAGAGTCGTAGTCACAGATCCAGATTCCCTCCAGAAGGGCCCTGTTACTATATAAGAGAATAAAAAAAGTTAGAAATGAAAGGAGGCATAGAGATCATGTATTCCACCCGTTTCATTTTACACAAGGAAACCAAGGACCTTTTTTTCCAATAAATTTTTGATACTGTTTTTAGATTATGATAAACTATTTTTATTAATAGATGGCTTCATCCTCCAATTTTTGCAATAATTAGAGAATTTCATTGCACTATGCTGGACTTAGTGAACATTTACCGAGCACTGAGTAGTGCCTGCTCCAGTGGCAGGTGGTGGGGTAACAGAGATCAATACAGCCTGGTCTCCCTCTCCAGGAACTCAGGCTGGCAAGAGCATTGAGAGGGTGAGTCATTATAATCTTATAGGAGTTTTGAGAGGAAGCTGGATTATTCAGTCTGATAACTGGACACATAGAGTTAGACTATGTAGATAGCCACCCAGGTACATAGAATTAATGAAGTAGAAGCAAAGAAACAATGAGTGCATTTGCTTCTCGAGAAAGTAGATATGGTTTAAGGGTGTATATAGATTGGTAGTAAGGAGATCTAGGTTTCTACCAGTATGAATAAACTGTCCAGGTATCATTTTAAGTCACTGACTTTTTGAGCCATCTGTAGAATGAGCAAGTTGGGTAAGCAGCAAGATTTCTTCCAGCAGTAAAGATCTGTAATAAATGAATATACATAAGCTGTACTCTAAAGCAGTATAAAAGAGAGAAAGAAATTCTTCATTCTTTGATCACTGTCAGTAAGAACAGCTAGTGGGACAGTAGGAAATTAGATATTACTGGTTACTGGGATTGGGGATCAAAGAATTCATATCACACATAACTGTTTGGGGAGATGCCAATGAATGGGACCAGGTTGACTTGAAAACCAGATGCTAAGGAAATAGGGAAAGGGCCATACAAATAGAAATGTGAGACCCACTTGGGTCAAGGCTGAAAGACTTTAGCCTCTGATACATGAGCTTCTTTCCCAAGTCAGTACCAGATCATTCCCAGAGTGAAATGACCACTAATACTAAGTTGTCCATGAGACCAGGGACCAAACCTGCCTTAGTTCCATTGGGATTATGTTTTTTCATGATTAAGAATGTTCACCATATTCTTTTTCAAGAAAAGACACGGTCTACGTCTATCTTTGGTTCTTATACCAAGCCCAGTCCTTCTCCATTCCCACTACCTATCTCTAACATAATGGAGATGACTTAAGGCCAAAATAAGAGCCTTATCAATTTGACCTCCACTTTTTAGTTCTTTGAACGTAAATCTGTGTATACTGAGCACTTCAGTTTATACTGTTGATTGGACGACTGACCAAGATGCAGGACTCTTTTGAATGGCTTGAAAACAGTAAGTTACATCCTCTAGGTCATGGGAAGCACCAAAGAGCCTCCAACTATAACTTTGAGAAAAACACGTAGAGGATCCCAGGGCAGTGCTGGCTGCTTGTGGGGATTTGGGGTCTATCCTCTCACCACCTCCTTTTAACCTTCCCTGTTGGGGACTCACCCAGGCTGAGTGCTCATCTCATGCACAGAACTCATTTTGGATGGATGGCAGCACATCTCTCAGGAAGTCCTTGAAACAGTTGTACTTCCTCTTCCTGGGGATGGAGGTTCTACTTTGTCGGTCTTAGGTGATAACTTTTCAGAACCTAAGAATCCTCAGAGGGCAATTACTCGCTCTTGGAGTGCTCCTTTACTCATTCTTCCTCCCTCCCTTCTCAGCTACTTCTCTGCAACCACACCTCCCCACTCTTCTAAGTTCCCTAGGGAATAAACATTCTGAAAAGTTTTTATCTCAACTTTTAATTGTCCTTCTAGTTTCCAGGCTCATGAGCCCTTCCCTGACTCTTTTGAGTCTTTCACTGCCATTCAAGACTATGGCATTGTTGGGGACTTTTGGCAGGAGTCAGGAGACAGGAATATTTACTCCTCTGGCCTAATGGGAAGGGGTTGAGATTAATCGAGAAGAAGAGAAATTAAAGTCTCAGAGCCTGATCTCCTTCCTAAGGGAAGAAGACCTTCTCCCCTCTTTCCACACATGTAGTTTTAGTGACTAGGGAGTAGTGAGTAAGCATTGCACAGCAGAAACATCATATCCATAAGCTGGAGTCCTTTGAGAAGTCCCAAATTCACAGACATTAAAAGATTTCCATAGGCTCCTTCATGGTCTCCATATCACATTTATGTTGAGTTTTGTTTCCTTTGCATATTTATCACCCGAAGCTTTTCCAGCTTTCACTAAGCTGGATTGCCCAATTCTTCATCATCTTCCACAAAGTTTTAGTCTCCACTGGAATTACAACAAGGAACAAAGCAAACAATGAGTCAGGATGGGGTTTTATTCCCAATATTACCTACCATTTCTATGGTAATAAAACGTGGGTCTTTGGTAAGATGGAAGAGTCATTGTTAGCAAGTAACCTGCTAGAATGTTTCTGTACTAATTGGCCAATATCAGCAAGATAAACTTTGAATTATCTTGAAGATTTGTGACTAACTGACAATGGACTGAGGAATGGCAGTTTCACTTCACACTCTTCCCTTTGTGCAGGACGTGTAGAATCTCAGGTTCACCTTTGCTCCTTCCACCATTCAGCTAAGCCCGGGACCCAAAGGATCTGAAACTCTCCCAACCTCAAAGTCCATCAAAAGCAGAAACTGATGGGACCTTCTGACTGAGAGTTGGAGGCAAAAGTTGAGAAGAGGGCAGAAGTAAAAAGAAGCAAGAGGGCACCAGATGGGAAAAGAAAGAGTGACACCTGAGAGGTGAGACTCCTGATGCACACCAAAGGTAGACTTGTATGAACTAATCTAGGTGACTCAACGGTAAAGAAAAAGAACATTTGGGTACCATCTTCCAGACAACATAGTGTGTGATCATCTAATAAAAATATTTCCTACAAAAATGTACCTTTCCTACTTTTCCAAACACAGATGATATGTAACTGGATCTAAAAAGTAGGTTAGAAAATTGTAGGTTCAGTATGATCCTAAATGGCAAAAATAATATACATACAGTAGGAATATAGAAACATAAAAAAAGAATTGGAAGGATGATCTTTAAATGTCAGTGGGTTATCTGTGGTAATGGGTTTATGGGTATTTTTATTTT